CAAGTACAATGGCACTGTGCAACCATTTTCTGGTAAATATATAAATAGTTGATCAACTATATATCCCTAGTAATCATGTTTCTATAGTTTTAATGCTTAGGGGTAATTTTTGAGATACCTCAATCATTATTTTTAACATACACATTGAGTAAAGGTAATGAAAATTTGAAAATGCAAAATAAAATTAGATCAAAATCATAAAAATGGTAACTATGATGAGAATAAATGAAAGAGATTCTGCAATATTTTGACAGGAGGAAATAGATTACCTAGAAAAACAAACTAATATAAACAATGATATTTACTCTTAAGGATTTCCATCATGCACACAGAAATATTTTCAGTCCTACAATCATAAAATCAAAGATTCCTACACAAAAGGCTGACATTTTTATTTCTTATACATGTATAATCAATTTGTTCAATCAACATTTCAAACTATCATTATAGAACAGCAGTGTTCATGCTGGCTAGTATAGCTACATGCAAAACACCAGTGCTCCCCAAGACCATTATAGCTACATGGGGAACACCAGTGCTCCCCAAGACCATTATAGCTACATGCAGAACATCAGTGCTCCCCAAGACCATTATAGCTACATGCAGAACCCAGTTACTTGCACCGTTCTACTATAATATCTATTACTATTATTCTATTACTATTACTATTCCAAAATAAAAGTGTTAAATAAAATCATAGACTACAAACAAAAGATAAAATAAGGGACAAAACTGTTATCTACATACAAAGATGGTTAAAATAATTACACCGTGTAATCAAAACACAGGATTATATATATTGGTTCATTTTTAAAACATCTTTTCTGAATGTTTCATGTTGATATGTAACTCCTGAATATCAAGTATAGAGATTATCACAAATTGTTAAGGTGAAGATAATTTTTTCTTGCATCACTATTTCCATTCAAACTAATTAATGTACTGAGGCAATAAATTAAACTTATGAAATTCAAACTAATTAATGTACTGAGGCAATAAATTAAACTTATGAAACTGAAAAAGCATCTATATAATTATTATACACAAAGCAAACATTTTTTTCCAATACGAATATATGTATTAATAATTTGCAAATCAGTATCTTCCATATTATGATCAATGGATAACAGTTTTTGAACGACACACGATTCCTTGTTTAGTTAAGATATTATCTTGCCTTGTCATTATTCTGTGTGTCCGTTATACGTAATACTCTCATGTTCATCAACGCTATATCAAACTAAACAAGATCCTTACAAACAACAACGTTAATCCTTAGATTAGCCTTATTGATCTCCGGAATGAGATTCATCAGTTCAGTATGATTATTGTATACCAGGGAAATTTCCACTGCAGTTTAATTTCCACCCTTTTCGCCTTCCATTATGAGGGCAAATTTATCATTACAACAAACTTTTGTAAACATACATTGTAATTAAATCTGAAGGGTGAATTTAGTATTGGGTGAAAATTGATTCAATCCTTTCGCCCCTATGTAACTTTAGTAGACTCTACTATGCATTGATCTGGATGAGTCCATTATGGTCTACAGTGGTGAAAATTTATTTAAGTGTTGAAGGGCGAAAAATTTCACCGGTATACAAATGCTTAGTTTGTTTTTAACACAAACAGTAATTGAAACTTAATTTTTGTGAACTTTCAAAAGTGTCTTATTTCCTTTGTCAAGCAACTAAAGAGTGCAAATGACGTGTGCCTCAACTCGAAACCACTAAATCAACAAATCAAGCCACAACGTGCTGAGTTAGTGGTGTCAACTGTCAGAAAATATTATCGATATGGGCTCCAGCTAAATAATCTTAACCATAACATATAACCTGTCCCTCTAACTGCCTGAAGCATTGAAATACTATTTAGCAAAACGTCTCGATATCTTCTTCACAGTTGACTTTACTGACTTGGCACATTTTGGCTTAGTGAGCTGTTTTCAGAAAGTTAGCATAGAGACAGCGTTCATTCGCACTCCGTTTGACAAAAGGAAACAGACATTTTTGAAAGCTCACATAAATTAAATTTTTAATTAATGATTCTGCTAAAAAACAAATTCAGCATTTTCTCATTAATCTCATTAGTAAATAGTTATAACAAGTACATCAATCAAAAGTAGGATTTTTCAGTTCCCCCTATGAACAATTCTGTAGTTTTCGTTATTTTGGCGAGCTTCTAATAACATCAATCTTTCCATATTCATAAAAGCATATGGAATAGATGCTATGCTCACCAATTAACTTCAATTGTATACTAAAAACACTTCTTCAAAGTGAAAATCAAAACAACAAAGTAATTTATTGTTCTCAATTAATAAACATAATATTTAAATATCATAGCTCTTCTGCATAAATATTTTCTAAAATGATGTAAAAGATAAAGAAATAATATAGAGTTATCAATATGTAATACATTTCTTTTGCACATGTTGTGACCTTTTGGTATATTTGTAGATTATTAGTGAAGATATTATCTATACATGACAACAACACACACTGTACATGATTAGACAATGTGTTGAGGGAGATGGGGGTGGTAGAGAGACATTTTTGTGACCCCAACACCCACAATTACTTTTTTACCTGGAATCTGCTAAATAAATATTCATTATTCTAGATCCCTAAACACATGTATAACATACTTTTCGTGGATTTCAGGCTGGTAACACAGGAAATGTATAAACAGTGAAAACCTGTTTTACTTATATTTATCACATTTAGAAATAAATGACACACTGACATTGTCTATCCAATTTAATGACATTTTTTCAGATAGATATACTTTAAGAAATAATAAAAAACAAGGTTACCGCAAGCGGTATATAATACGCCCGTCACACATTGAATGAGCAGTTGTTTGTATGATTGAAATATATGAAGTATTTGTGAGTAATTGATATTAAAAGAGAAATCATTCAACATAACTGGTAGATCAATGAGTGCAATACAACATCATGGAACGCATGCATCGCATTAATGAAACCAAGGGTAATAACTCCAGTAATTACGGTCGGATAATGGCGGTTATCAAACTTGTCCGTGGTTTCATGGTAATTAACCTTGTTGTGAAGTTTGAAGTTAATCCGTTAATAATTACTCGAGATATCGAGCGGACACTGTTTCGGCAAGTCCATAAAGGGGCATAACTCCAGAAATTATGGTCGGATAATGGCGGTTATCGAACTTGTCCGAGGTTTCATGGTAATTAACCTTGTTGTGAAGTTTGAAGTTAATCCGTTAATAATTACTCGAGACATCGTTTGCCCGCCCGCCCGCTCACGTGATAACATAATACGTCCCCGTCTTCGACGGGCGTATAAAAAAATGTTAAAGCAAAGACAATAAAATATCATGCAAGCACAAGAAGCACTAGAGAGTTTGTAGAATAGATACATATAAACACTACCATACCATACATATACTGAAGCTGCACTTTGTCCTGAATTAAAAATAAATAACACATTTTTCTATTAAATTTTGTTATAAAACACACAATAAGCATAATGGTCGACTAGAATGTCACATGCACTATACAGAGGAACAGGAAAGGACGGAGAAATGTTAAGTCTTTGTAACTCTGAGTTACCCCAGTGTTATCTGTTTTGAGACTCAAAATTAACTGAATTTTATGGAAAATATCACCAACGATAGCTTAAGTGTCTTATTTTCTACTTACCGCGGTAAGACAATTTACACTTGAATTCAGTAAAATTAATCTACAGATTACAGTAAAAAAATGTATGTACCATAATGTCAAAAACAAAATATAGGGCTAATGCATGTACCGGTATTTGATTATGTGCTGTATATATATGAATCCAACATTACACATGGCCCCAAAAATATAAAATTCTGAAGCTTTACTCTAGCTGTGTACGGAAAATTGTTAAAATAAGATATTCAGGAAACACAACTGGCAAAGCTTTCAAATAGGCCTTCAAGTCATACAGGTATAGATAACACAACATATATAAGTTCTAAAACCAAACTGAAGTCATACAAGTATACATAACACAACATCTATAAGTTCTAAAACCAAACTGAACACATTCTCATCAGCCACAAATGCATTTCTACGATTATAACAATTCATACAAAATGAATATTATTTTTTTATTGACATGATTCCGTTTAAAATTTGAATGCTAAATATACAAGATGTACTGGCAGTAAAGTTTTCACTTGTAATAAACCTTGATACAGGAAAATTGCCTGTTTTTTAACACGACCCTGATATTAAATGATACAGTATTTAAGTGTGATTTTCTGTGCTGACATATGGAAGGAATAAAAGAAAGCTGTTGTTAGATGCATGGCAATAAATCTGACGCTGCAGGAGTTAGTTTTACAATGAGCAGAAACAAACATTTTAATACCATTTACTGCACACACATTTAGTTAAACCTGTCATAAAGGCACAAACACATGTACACACACACAGAAAGTAAAACACCCCTCATCATGATACAAACAAAAAGACGGTAATGTTAGCTCTCCCAATGACTCATACATATACACACACTGGCAAGAGAAAATATGCGGGCTCTATCTTTTTTATTTATTGTGGAAGACACTTGATTCCTGATTCATTTATCATTCTGACCGTTAAGGATTCATATCTAATGTCCTGATGTCATATTATAAATATTAAACCAACTATCTGTCAAAGAAATTGTTCATTTTCTCTGATCGAGTTACTTCCCTTTGGTCAGTAGAGAAATTTATATTTTATCAAGTTACATTTGTACCATCAATGCATCAACATTCACTACAGTATGACCAAAGGAAATGTTGTTTTGACATTCATGTCAAATATCCAAATCTGGTGATTGCAATTTTTTCTTTGTATTCCGTCTTTGCGTATTGCAGAGTTGTCTTCTCTTGTGAACAGGTATTGATTGTTATGTCATTGGTTTGTGTGAGAAAATTACGTCGTTTTCTCAAAAATTGATGACGTTACTCTCACAAACAAATGACTTAACAATCAAATCCTGTTCTCAAGAGAAGATAACTCTGCAATACGCAAAGACGGAATACCAACCTAATCATTGATCAGGTGCATTGTACAGTATACACACGCCCTTGATGTCACAAGATTTCACCTGTAGTTTTGACCCATTTATCTATATACTTGTTTCTTTTATGAATATTGACTCGTCTATAATCAATATGGTAATCAGAGGTCATGAGAGGTCATTGTGTTCTGACTATTTATAAACAAGCCTTTCTAAAAAGCAACAAAATGACCCTCAAAACAGTAAGCAACCTTACCAACAATTTTATGTTAAATTCAAAGTGTTCAGTTGGAAAAAATACATTCCACAAACTTTTTTGTCACTATTAAAAAAATAGGTATTTATCTTAAGTAAGCTGATCCCATATATCACTGCAGTAATGATTGTCCAGTCTGTATTAAACATTGTCAAATTGGCGAAAATGTTAACAATTACATCAAATTGGCAAGAAATGTAACAACTATGTCAAATAGGCGACATCATAACAATAAAATATTGAGCCAAATGGATAAAATCATATAACAAATTCATACGCACAATTGTAACAATTATTATATTTTTGCAAAACTGCACAAAACAAAATTGCAGCAAATTAGTAAAATGTAGCAACTATGTCAAATCTGCAAAGTTGTAATAATAATACATATTACATATGTATCAAATAATTAAAGCTATGATATTTATGTGTAGTTGTAAAAATTAACGAAATTTCCAAAATGTTTACAACTACAAGTATATATAGTGTCAAAGCTGTAAAATTTAACAACTACATCACATTGACTGTTCAAACTATAACATTAAAACCCGAAACATCCTTATTAAGCCAGAGCAGCACTGTGTCCATTCACTTTCGCAGACTCCTTATTACAGATTTGGTCTAACTCAATATCCACATTGCGCCCCTCATCCTCATTGAGATCCTCATCCTCTGGACTCTTTTTCTCCATTGCCCAAGGCTGAAGTTCTCCACTTCCCAGAAGAATAAATACCAGTGCTCCAAATGTGTACATGCCACAAGCCACGTAAAAGACAATCTGCCACTGGGACCGCATATCCATTCCTTCCTATAAACAAACAACAATTGGCATTGTAAACTATCGGTAACCCACAAAGATAGACAGGAGAAATATTTTAGCATTTTCTAATTATTGCTCACCAAAGAAAATGTCTTTCCCATTCTGGACTCTTTCCTTTAATATGACATCAACTAGCTTATTTTTCAGACTAGGAAATATTACTGATTGCTCTCAATGAAGAAATATTGAATTTGCTGAGTTCCAGAGGCTGGAATAAAACAAGTACATTCTTTGCCCCAGCAATTGTTTGAGTGTAAAAGGAAATGACAATCACAATACTTTAGACCAATTTATTTCCAGTATTTTGGCCTCTAACATAACCGGTTCTATGAGGATGAAACAGATGCATGATGCAATGTAATTCATTTTTGGCATACTCAATCTATTACCAAATTTTAAATGTTCATATTTCTTATGGAAGGACCACAATGCAGATCATTTTACATCACTTTTCACAATGAAGAATGTTAAGCATTTCATTTTCATCTAACTTAGGTATGTCTTCTTCCCAAAATACGCTGACGTATTCTGGGTAAAAGAAGGTATAGTCTATGGGTAATATCCAAGCATTATGAACTGACACTGTAAGCAACAGAAAACAGAGGTTGCACAATGTCATTTATGCCATTGCAGTTTGACAAACCCTTCACTGTAATGAACATCTAGTTCCCTAGATAAAAGGACTGTACCTTTCATATCTACTTCAATACATGATAAAAGGTCAGTGCTATATGTTCCAGTATTCAAACATTAACATGACTATTAACATTAATGGGTGGTGCAGTGGATAGCACACTTGCCTTTCACCAAGGCAGCCAGGGTTTGATTCCCCGATGAAAAGGTATGGGGTCACTACTTGCCCGACCACGTGAGTTTTCTCCGGGTACTCTGGTTTATTCCCACATTTAAACACCTCCCCGAAAGTTGATGTCAGACCGATGCACGACGGATGCCGCACCACAGCATAAGCTCACTTTACCCTTCGGGCCAGGTGTGCTAATAACCTTGGGCATGACACGTAGATTACAAAGCTAAACTGACAAATTTTATAACTCAATTTTACAATATCTCCTCCTTTTTTTCCCCTCGCTGCTAAAATTGCCCGCTACATGTTTTGTCAGAGAAACAGACATAGTATGCACTTGTAGAATGCAAAGCAAAAGGAGGTAATCAAAAACTAGTTTAAGGAAACTTACCAGTTTCCTGATGGCAGCCACAACTTGCTGACTGACAAAACCAGTGACTGATGCAATGGAGTTTGATATTCCAAACAGAATGCCAGCATAAACAGGAGCAATGTCTACATGATTGACCAGCCAACCACTATACTGGAAACCAGACAGTCCCACAGCGAGGGTCAGCAAGGCTATGGCCAGGATTGGAGAGCTACAATCCACATAACCCAAGCCAATCAGCATAAGGGCAGGCACGATCATACCTAAAATCAAGGGAATAGAAAATCAAGGACAGCACAATTAAATCTGTAATAAAATAGAATACATGATGTAGGGGGGACATGATCATACCTGTGGTCAAGGAGAATACATGATGTAGGGGGACATTATCATACCTGTGGTCAAGGAGAATACATTATGTAGGGGGGGGGGGCATGATCATACCTGTGGTCAAGGATAACAAATGATGTAGAGGGGACATGATCATACCACAGTGGTCAAGGAAAAAGTACATTGTAGGGAGAACATGATCAATACTTACCAACCGTATTGACTACCTTTCTTGTGACAGTTACAGTGAAACATTTCCTCGTCATGTAGTCTGCTAACCATCCACCAATGTTGATTACAGCCCAGAACACGATGTAAGGAAGAGCAGAATACAGACCATTCTGAAAAAATCAGTAACAAGGTCAACCAACACTTCCTATTACCCTACTATTAGAATTGAGAAAGGTCAACGATATTCTGCGCAATTTTTCAATATTTGGCAAAATTGATATAAAGAAACTGGTTCACCATATAATTGTAGATAATTTAATGGATTTTCAGCCCTTCATATACATTTCTTTTCATTACATGTCATGTTTGAATATGAACTGCAGAGATTTTAGCCTTTTTAAACTTACAAACTTTTATTGAAGCAGGCAAAAATTTGATAGAACTAGAACTAATTTTAACGTTAAACATTGGCAAAAATACTATCTTTGTAAAATAAACATTTCAAATTGAAAACAAAATATTTTCTTACTTTGGCAATATCAAACTTGAGGACCTCCTTTAAGTATAAGGGAATATTTGCAAGCAGAGTGTAGGCTCCCCAATCAGACATGATGTTGACGATGATGATAGCAATAACAGGGCCAGATGTGCAAAACTTCAGCCAGGGAACGTTTAACTTCTGAAACATAGAAATATTTATGATAGTGTTAGCCATCACAACAATACATACAAATGTACATGTGATCATTGTAGAATATGTGGTAGAGAGATTGAGTTTTTGGTAGAGAATTATTGATTATCACATTATAAATTATCACCAATAGAATAAACTCTCCACATCAAAAGCATATTAGTCTTGTCTGAATATGACTAGGGTTTGTTATTTTATACTTTTTGAAGTACATAGTGTCTATAGTCGATACAAACAAATCTAGATCTTAACATACTATTGACACAAACTGGAAAGCTTACCCCGCCCGATTCCTTGTGTTTAGATTCTGACAGTGCATGATTGATGTAATCTCTCTCCTCTTTGGTGATGCCTTTATGTTGTGTTGGACTGTCACTAGCCAAGATCCACCATACTACTACCCACACGAGGTTCACCATTCCTACACGAACAAACCGTATTAACGACTCAGAAATCGGCTAAAATTACAAATAAATTCCTACAAGTCCATAACTTAATGGAGTTAAGAGCATTCAAAGTTTCTACACAGAAACTTATAAAATAGAAAGTTGCTTCAAGACCCTTATAATTATACTTTAATTCACTATCAGTTATTCTCAATTCATGACAGACAACTACTTAAAACCATCCAAAATCCCTGCCGACCATTTTAAATCCTTGCCAACCATTCCAAATTCTATTTAGTGAGGGTGGTACACAGTACACACAAATATTAATGTTAAAATAAAGTACCTGGATAGAATGTAAAATATCAAGAAATCTTCATGCAAAACCTTTAATTAAGCGAAATTGGTTTCTGTCAATCTTGAAATTTGATGAACCAAGAAAGATCAACAAGATGAACTAAGACTGTAGTTTCTTACCCAAAACATAGAATATAGACGGCCAACCTCCGGCAAAACCATATTTACATAGAACACCAGACAGTGGCAAAGTGATCACGTTACCAAGCTGTGCACCTGAAATTATATAAAAATTGTATTTCATTTACATGATTTTAACTACATGTAAGTCATCGGGATTGGACATAAAGTCAAAAGCAATTAAAATTAACTATCAATAATTTAAACAAATTAAGTGATAAAGCTATTACGTTTAAATATACCTATTTATTATTGCTTCAAGCATTACCGTACAAAATTTGAAAGGAATTGATAAAAAAAACAAGGTTACCGCGAGCGGTATATAATACGCCCGTCACACATTGAATGAGCAGTTGTTTGTATGATTGAAATATATGAAGTATTTGTGAGTAATTGATATTAAAAGAGAAATCATTCAACATAACTGGTAGATCAATGAGTGCAATACAACATCATGGAACGCATGCATCGCATTAATGAAACCAAGGGGAATAACTCCACTAATTACGGTCGGATAATGGCGGTTATCGAACTTGTCCGAGGTTTCATGGTAATTAACCTTGTTGTGAAGTTTGAAGTTAATCCGTTAATAATTACTCGAGATATCGAGCGGACACTGTTTCGGCAAGTCCATAAAGGGGCATAACTCAACAAATTATGGTGGGATAACGGCGGTTATCGAACTTGTCTGAGGTTTCATGGTAATCAACCTTGTTGTGAAGTTTGAAGTTAATCCGTTAATAATTACTCGAGATATCGAGCGGACACTGTTTCGGCAAGTCCATAAAGGGGCATAACTCCACAAATTATGGTCGGATAATGGCGGTTATCGAACTTGACCGAGGTTTCATGGTAATTAACCTTGTTGTGAAGTTTGAAGTTAATCCATTTATAATTACTCGAGATAACGAGCGGACACTGTTTCGGCAAGTCCATAAAGGGGCATAACTCCACAAATTATGGTCGGATAATGGCGGTTATCGAACTTGTCCGAGGTTTCATGGTAATTAACCTTGTTGTGAAGTTTGAAGTTAATCCGTTAATAATTACTCGAGATATCGAGCAGACACTGTTTCGGCAAGTAAAGGGGCATAACTCCACAAATTATGGTCGGATAATGGCGGTTATCGAACTTGTCCGAGCTTTCATGGTAATTAACCTTGTTGTGAAGTTTGAAGTTAATCTGTTAATAATTACTTGAGATATCGAGCGGACATCGTTCGCATGCCCGCCCGCTCACGTGATAACATAATACGTCCCTGTCTTTGACGGGCATATAAAAAGTTCTTGCATAATTTACTACACAATGCCCTTATTTGGCAATAAAAGGGGCATTACTCCACCAAAAATACATCTAAACTTCTGAAATGCGAACTTGTCTGAGCTATGTTGGTATGCAATATGTGTACCAAGTTTGAGTTCAATCAACCCAAGGGAACTTAAGTTATCGCACGGACACCTTGTTTCGGATGACGCAACCGTCGAATCGAAGACAAAGTAATACCTACATATATGTCGCGTTGCAGGTGACACAAAAAGTTAATTTGTGGAGGGGTTCGTGAGATATCTTGGGGGTCCCTTGCAATGTTTTGTTAATTTTGAAGCAAAATGGGGTAAATGCATCCGCATTGAAATATGTATGATACCTACCTGCATATGTGAATGCTGTCAGTTTACTTCTTTCTAAGGGTGGAGCCCAACTTCCCCAGAGTGCATGCATAGCTGGAAATGTGACTCCCTGCAGAATGTAAAACACAAATTGTCAGTCAAAATGACTTTGTATCCAATACTACAGTGTCCTATATATTCAGCACAGCATTGATGTTATACTAGTTCTACATTCACATTTAGGTGGTTAAATACTCAAGTATTGAATTTGCAGTTTCAGGATTGTGAATTACACTGTATAACTGCCATATTCTATCATACACATATGCAGGGTTCGAATTTAAGCTCGCATACTCGCGAAAAGCGACTGCAAATTGCAAACTGCGAGTAGAGATTTCAGACACCAGCATTTTTTTGCGAGTGAAAATTTTGGGCTGAATAATCCTCATTTCTAATGGTCGGTCTTTACAAATTCTTTCTTTGACAACTCGTGGTCATTTAAGCGCATTCTTGTCATTCGCCGAATGAATGATTCATCTTTTGTCATTAACGGAAGTTTACAATCGATACCTGTCCCGTGCGCATGTCCGTTAGGAAGTACCTGCACAAATAATGATGACGTTTACCGCATGCATGATTTTTTTTTCGGTAATCTATTTTTAGTTACAATTTATAGCGCAAATACGATAGGCTTGACTAGTCACGTGGTTGTATTGGGGTTTCCCAAGGTTAAATTTCACAGCTCACTTTACCGGCAAAATAACAAATGGACAAGTTGCTGATGTTGCCCTTAGAGAGTATGACCCAAAAACTGCTGTGACAAGATGGTGGTAGTCGGGACAAAGACAGAAAAGACCAAATACTCTACCATATGGAGCAAGAAACTAAGATGCAGTTTTTATGCTATATCTTAGAATAGCCTGAGCAGGCCAGCATCCTTTCACAGCAAGGTTTGCGTCATGTATACATCCCAATGATGTCAGTTAATACTGTGTTGTTTTAGAATTTAATTCTACGTTAACATGTCTAATAAAGTTGGAAAAATGCAAATTGCAAGTTGTTTTCTCATTTAGCAAGTAAGAAAAAATACCACTTGCGAAAAAATGCAAGTAGAAAATCTGGTTAAATTCGAACCCTGATATGGTTGTAATCTACTAGCCCTGGGTGTCAGGCTTCTTAAATTGTACATCCCTGGTATATATATGTGATGTTTATATGGTATATATATGTGATGTTTATATGGTGTATGTTTGTTTTGTTTGTTTCGTATTGTTTTACGGCCCATCGATAATTTGAGTCATTTAGGGCCAAACACAGTGTAAGAAACAATAGGTTAAAATGTGTAAATATGTCAAAATATATCAGCAGCAAACGAATTGTTTATAAAATATATCCTATCTTATTATAGAGGTTAATCTTTTTACTTATTAACCAACCACCTGTCTAATTCAACCAGTGGTCACCAATTTTCAACCAAGAAAAATATGTTAAGCAACCATTCCTCAAAGTGACCTCTATTTTCTACCTTTATATATTCAATTTTGACCAGTTGTCTACAGATCAACCCCTCAAAAACAAATGGCTAGCACTTTTTTGAGTATATATATATATGTACATTTCTGCAAAAGGTCAAGCATGTACAGTGTTACTGAATGGCTTTTTGACTGTAATGATGAAGGATAGAATTTTTAAAAGCGTTAATTAACTTTCAGATTATGTATGACGACTTACTGAACACACTCCAAGGATTATACGTAACACAATCAGGAACATGGGGCTTGTCTGGGCTGCCACAGGGGTGATAAATGTTGCTACAGAGGCTGCCATCATGCTCACACCGAACACTTTCTTCCCTCCAAATCGAGTGGCAATCCACCCCCCTGGGATCTGTGTAACCAAATAGCCCCAGAAAAAGGCTCCAAGGACATAACCTTGTATATCTTCATTCCAGTCAAACTCTCCGTCCTGTAAACGAAAGTTTAAAAAATTTAAAATAACTAAAAATGGGGAGTTTTATACGCTGCATACAACCACCTTAACTGTATCCTTGCATCTAGCTTTAGAATATTTGTATGCTGGAAATGGAAATCAACATTTAAACCCTGTCTAGTACTCTTTCTCAACAGGAAAAAATCTTTATTCCCCAAGCGTAAATTCTGTCATTCGTGTGTAAAAACTACATCTGTGCATAGAGCATGCTGTACTATGTAAAATCACGGAATAAGATTGCTTTCTAAGTACATGGTAGAATGTTTGCTGTCATGGTCAATTTGCCCCTCATTGTGGAAGGCAAAAGTTAAACTGCGGTGAACATTTCCAGCTGGTATACAGTATCATAGGAGCTCTAAACTTATAATACACATGTAATTATTATCAATCATCAGTATCTGGTGCTGAAATTTTATCTTCCCACTTTTCACAAGATGTCTTTTAACTCAGTTGACACCCAACTGAAAAGTTGAACTTATACTTGTCAAACGTGAAGCTTTTCAATGCTGTTTTGATAAATTACCTCAAACTTTGGCGCTTCCGTGAAGTTTGACCCGGCAGACACAAGACCACAGCTGCTGGACATGGCTTGATCATTACTGCCAAATGAAGAATTTCTCTGCCTTTCATGCACCGCTGTCCAGTTGACCATACACACTACAGCTACGCTCATATTGGCTCTCAATGCATAAACATTGATGAACCCAAAAAATCCAAGGATTGCTAGCTGTAGGCGTTTGGAGGTCCACCATGGTACTGAAAGACATAATAACATAGAGAAATTACAAGCGAAGTATATATATGCAAATACACAAGTCTTAGTCAATCAAAGTGCCAATGAACAACGGCACTGGAGGATTGGCGACATGATCACATTTTATTCTTAATAGGCAGGATTCTATATATTCATTCATGTGGAATAAAATAAAACAAAACTTAATTACCCCATCTCCCTCCTGTTACCAGTGGTCCAGTACACTCTGACGTTTGAACTATATAGCTATAAAGACCTATATAGCTATATTCACATTTATCACATACTTCCTAATAAATATNAGCTTTAGAATATTTGTATGCTGGAAATGGAAATCAACATTTAAACCCTGTCTAGTACTCTTTCTCAACAGGAAAAAATCTTTATTCCCCAAGCGTAAATTCTGTCATTCGTGTGTAAAAACTACATCTGTGCATAGAGCATGCTGTACTATGTAAAATCACGGAATAAGATTGCTTTCTAAGTACATGGTAGAATGTTTGCTGTCATGGTCAATTTGCCCCTCATTGTGGAAGGCAAAAGTTAAACTGCGGTGAACATTTCCAGCTGGTATACAGTATCATAGGAGCTCTAAACTTATAATACACATGTAATTATTATCAATCATCAGTATCTGGTGCTGAAATTTTATCTTCCCACTTTTCACAAGATGTCTTTTAACTCAGTTGACACCCAACTGAAAAGTTGAACTTATACTTGTCAAACGTGAAGCTTTTCAATGCTGTTTTGATAAATTACCTCAAACTTTGGCGCTTCCGTGAAGTTTGACCCGGCAGACACAAGACCACAGCTGCTGGACATGGCTTGATCATTACTGCCAAATGAAGAATTTCTCTGCCTTTCATGCACCGCTGTCCAGTTGACCATACACACTACAGCTACGCTCATATTGGCTCTCAATGCATAAACATTGATGAACCCAAAAAATCCAAGGATTGCTAGCTGTAGGCGTTTGGAGGTCCACCATGGTACTGAAAGACATAATAACATAGAGAAATTACAAGCGAAGTATATATATGCAAATACACAAGTCTTAGTCAATCAAAGTGCCAATGAACAACGGCACTGGAGGATTGGCGACATGATCACATTTTATTCTTAATAGGCAGGATTCTATATATTCATTCATGTGGAATAAAATAAAACAAAACTTAATTACCCCATCTCCCTCCTGTTACCAGTGGTCCAGTACACTCTGACGTTTGAACTATATAGCTATAAAGACCTATATAGCTATATTCACATTTATCACATACTTCCTAATAAATATGGGTTTATTGCATATGCGATACGACACATTTGCTCTAACCCATATCAGCCCTCGCCGCGTCACAACCCAAAACCCGTATCAGCCCCCGCCGTATCACACCCCAAAACCTGTATCAGCCCGCAAAACCCATATCACACCCCTTTTGGATTTATTTTCGTTTTTCAATATTTCAAAAAGAAAAATAGATCATAAGATAGTAGTTTTTATTAGCTATTCTAACACGATTCGTTTGCAACGCGTGTTTTGATTGGATACGGACCATGTTCTAATCTGCGATAGAATCATGATCAATCGTGTTAAGCTCCTCCCATCGCACTTAAGCCATGCCCCGTTTCTAACCAAAACAATATGGCGTCAAGCTCACCTCATAGCGAAATCCCGCTGATAAACAGAACAGAAACGACCGATGAAATGCATTTGTTGAATGAATTAGAAGTAAAAAGAACGCATTCCTTGTTCTTACCTCCATTTATTACTAAAACGTTCGTTCCATCCGTGTAAAGGCATCTAATTAGATCCGAAATCAAATCAAACATTTCACATGTGTCGTATGCATTTACACAAAACTCTTCACAAATCTATACCAATAATCACCGATTTTGTCGATAAGCTCCTTTGAAAGCTTCTTTCTGGTTGGTCAGTCCGCTGCAGAATGACACGTCGCCAGTTCAGGTCACAAAGTACTTTTGTACAAGGAAATACAATGTTTCTAAACATATTAGCGTAGTATATTTGTTAAGGTGCGTTAGAATGGGGATAGTACGTTGTTTTTCGTGTCTACTACTGGCGATTAGAACATTAAATTTGGTTTAAACTCTCGACCTATCGGTCTCGAAATCAAACCCATGTTCTAATCGCCAGTATAGCCACTCAAAACAACGTACTATCCCCTAAGTATGTAATAAACAGAATAAAACACGCCTTTTTCCATATCACACCAAGTATCAACCCTCGACCAATATCAACCCTCGGGCCTATATTGCAGTCTCGGGTTGATACTGGATGTGATATGGAAAAAGGCATGTATTATTCTCTATATAAATTATAGCTGTATTGAGCTATAAGTTCTCAGATACCAATTTTCATTAAATCAAAGCAAAGTCGCAAAAAACAATAATGTTTATGGTAATGTTGACTACAAAAAGTATACATTTAGATCTTTATTTTCATTTTTCATAAATGTGAAATTTCCGATTTTTACATCATTTTTTTTTTAAAAAGAATACTTATATTTAATGTCTTTTGTTATCAACCTAATGATAAAATCTTCTTTTAAAAGCAACTTTGTTTCGTTTTCCTTCAAAAAGAAAATCACATGAAAATTGCTCAAAAGACCTATTTTAGATAGGTCAATAGAGCTATTATATATAGGTCTTACAGCTATATAGCTCAATCGGCAGAGTGTATACGTACTGGACCTGGTTACAGATTTTACCTGCACACCATTCACTACAGATTCTCACTCAGGTAATATGGCTTGACTTGTATCAAAAGTCTTGTTAGCTTTATGAATTATTGTAAAATATCCAAACAAAATACATGTCATCATTCTCAAGATTTAAAGCATTTTCTAACATTTTTCTCGACAATAGTCACTAAATGGATACTTCAGGAATGCATGTACAGGTAAGTTTTTACATTAATATATTATTCATTGCAATTTTGCGCCATTCAAATTCTACATTCAAAAGTTACTTTTCAGACAAAATCAACATTTTTTTCTACAAATCATTTCTGCAAAGGTAATTATTGACATCGTTCTTTACATGAGTATACGAAGCAACTTCCATACTTTATTCATTTTGAGGAAAGTTATGAGCCGGGCCAAAATATATACACTGACATGACGATGTATGAAATAGCTAAATTAAGGAAACATAACGTTAGAGAAGTTAATAAATATGCTTTATTTTTTGTTCTGGATTTTTTCCTACTTTCTTAAATTAATATTTGTTAGTGACTAAACTACAGTATAGCATGTTCTGTTGTGTGCAGCTAAGTTCACACATAAATCACAGGTACTAGCTTCATCTATCAATACACCTATAGATAGATACATGGAGATAGATCTGTCAAAATGCAGTGATCTATTTAGATCTACTACAATTTATTTTCATTGGCCCTTTTCAACTTTTAAGTTACTTATTGCAAAAAACAATGGATTCCACAATAATAAATTTAAGTATTTCCAGAAAAATGTCACTGAAAATGAATCAAGTCTGGTCCAGAGGAAAATGGGGCTACGATTCAGATTATTTTAGGCACGAAACCAGATTGGTACCGAGTACATTATTTAGCACAACTACAATGTAGACTGCTATCTAAGGCCGTGGTTACAGTAACTTGAGTAAGTCTGATTAGTGATTGTAATTTTACAGTACGGTAACATTTTTACCTTGTTCTTGGTCAAACTGCATTTCAGCATCTTCTGTATTTCCTACTCGATACTCGGATTTGGTCATATTCGCTATCCGTACGGTCACTATATATGTAGTACACGTGAACAGGATGACGAAACAGTGACGAAACTGCCAGTGTCTGTTTACAAAATGCTCCGTACACGTGGCGAGTTATTTTTGAAGTTTCAACAGTGGTAGGAAAAAAACCACCTCATCGTGTGATAATTAACTGTTCGATTCACCTTTCCCTGAGAAAAGTGGTCATCCGCAGCAAAAATGAGTGTTAACAATGACAATAGGCCCTTGATCACAACATCAAGCGTGGCACGTTAGGGCCTATAGCTACCGGATGATGAAATCAACACTACGGAATGGCAAAAAAGCCGGAACGAAATATGTTCAGAACTCCAGGGTTGGAGTGCAATTAACCCTGGGAAGTGGCATTTCATTGTTGTTGTTTTTTTAGGTATTATGTTAAAACTATGTACAAAACGAGGATGCAAAATTAGTAGAATCTACAAGTAGAGACGTATATATTACAGCAATATTGTAATATGGGGCAAAGAAGTAATTCCAACAGTGTGGACAAGTTTAGGTTGTCAAATTTTCGGAGCGATTCGCTCCTTTATCAAGACACAGTGAAACAGAACAGTTATACATCATATCACAAGAAGTTATAACTGATATACTATAATTGAAAATATAGCTAAAGACAGCCGAAGGCAGCAATTAAGCTGAGATCATCGCGGACAAGGAACGCTGATGTAGAGGGCCTATTCTTGCGGTTGATGCACTATCACATAAAGTGAGTCAACGAGAGATAAGCACCAGAAAAAAGGGACGAGACATCAAAAACGTGGAACATGTGCATGTGGGAATCTGGCCCGGTAAATGTGAAAAATCTCAATTTCTACGGAATGCCCTCATTAGTCGCCTCTCAATTCTGCAGTGGATTTAACAGTCACAGCAGGGAGGGGAGGGTCCACACTTAGTCGCCTCTTTCGGTTTACAGGAATAATGTATGTAATTGTAATATAGAAACATGTACGTCTCTGCTTCAAGCGAGGACTTGAAAGAAGGTAAATCCTCACTAAGGGCCAGTGACGTTGGTAATGAGTTCCAGGTGATAATAGTTCTTGGGGGGAAAAAAAGAGAATTTATAGGCGTCTTTTTCGGTAGATATTGTGTTTATTTTATGTGTCCCCCTTGTTCGTCTGTCACCTGATGTCCAGTATGATGATGGGTTAATTTTTACGATGTTATGCGAGATCTTGTATAAGCATTGACAATCTGGCTTTTTGCCCTTCTTTGTGATAAAGATTCCCAATCTAATGATTTCATCATGTTTGTAATACAGCCTGGATCTCTAGATCTGTACTCATTAAAAGTGTATCTCGATGCTCTTCGTTGTACATTGTCTAATTGTTGTATGTGGTTGATGGAATAGGGGTCCCAACAAGTTGAGGAATAATCTAAAACTGGTCTTGCACGAGTAGTGTATGCCTGTGGTTAGCTTTCCTAGTACATGAATATGTAGTTCGACGTAGGAAGCCCAAGGTCGTATTGGCCTTGTTGGTCACTGATTGAATGTGTTTGCCCCAAGTTAGGTCTGAACTGAAAGTGACACCCAGAAGTAGTGTAGTATCGAGCACGACGAACCCTTCTCACCTGATGATGCCTGATAGAAATGCGACGTCACTGGGGGAAAAACAGTGTCACGGACTACTATTGTGTTCAATACAAATGTGCATTTATTATGAAACAGTACTGTCAGGGACATTATACGTCCCTGGTACTGTGTACTACCGACTACGAACACTGCAATTACTATATATTATATTGTAAATATGTTTCTCTATACATTGTATTGTGAAAGAGAATAAAGTTGAATCGGACTACTATTGTGTTCGATTTTAATTTCTATTGTTATCGATTTGTATGGCCTATTGAATTGGGGTGTCCTAAGCTCCCCCACATTTTATAGAACAAAGAAAAGTGTTGATACAGGAAGACAACGGCAAACCAAATATAGTCTGTTTCATACTTACTCCACAGGTTAAAGTTACATGTCTGACTTGTAGCTTTTCTGTGTATGTGATATGTTAGGTTAAGGAGATTTACTTTTTGGATATATTTAGAGATTATCATATGACCATTTTGATAGCACACCCCGTATCAGCCCGAGAGTCCTGAAATCAGACAGAGGGCCGAAGGCCCGAGGGCTGATATGAGGACTCGAGGGCTGATTGGGGGG